AATCCAGAGGCTGTCGTGTGAGCCGCACACGGCACACTGCGACTTGTCTGACGGCTGCTGGCAGTAGCGGCACACCTGGCGAGGGAGGGGGTTGGGGGTTGGGGAGGGGTAGGGGAAGGGGAAGAGTCAAGCTGAACTTGTGTGATGGATGCTGGCTGGCTGGCAGTGGGAGGCACAGCTGGTATGAGTGACAGCAGGTGGGGGAGGGGAGCGCAGCAGCCAACGGGGCGCGTGGGTGGAGTGGGAAAGGGGAGGAGGGGGGAAATGGTTGCTTGAAGATGAGGGAGGAGCAGGCAGAGAGGGGATGGGATGGGTGCACGCAGAGGACAACACAATGCACATGCACACGCATGGGGCAGGGGGAGCGTGTACAAGAGGACGAGTGGGACAAGCACATCAGTGAACGAGCGTACTGGATGCCCTTTGAGTCAGCTCAAAGGTCACAAGCACGCAGAGGGCAGGAGGAGTGGGTCCACTTGGAGATGCAAGAGGAGGAAGCAGGTAGAGGGGAGCATGGCATGGGCGCACACAGGACATGGCACAGCACATGCATGACAGATGCAGCACGCACGGGGCAGGAGCAGCAGGGCACGCACGGGGCAGGAGCAGCAGGGCACGCACGGGGCAGGAGCAGCAGGGCACGCACGGGGCAGGAGGAGTCGGTCCACTTGGAGATGCAGGAGGAGTGGAAGGAGTGGTTGCACACGGTGGTGAGGATGCCGCTTATGTGCCGATCAGGCGCTCTGATGTGACGGGAGAAAGGGGCGGAGTGAAAGGAAGGGAAAAAGGGCCAGCATGGGAGGACCAGAATGTGGGGGGGGGAGGACTGGAAGGAGTGGTTGCACATGGCCGTCAGGGGGGGCTGTGGGTGGGGGGAAAGGGGGGGGGTTGGGTATGGAGGAAACAGAAGGGGGGGGGGGGAGGGATGGAAGGAGTGGTTGCACAATGTGGTCAGGATCCAAGCGCTCTGCCATGAACACAACACAACACACATGCAGGGAGATGGATGGCGGGTGGACGAAAGGGAGGGGAAGAAGATGCTTTGGAACGAACGGGAAGGAGTGGTCGAAAACACACACTCATGTGAGAATGCCATCAATTGTTTTGATGCAGCCGCTCTCATGGCAGGGGCTGGAAGGGAGGAACGGGATTCGGTCGGTTCACCTGCTCTGACACGCAGACACACGGGCCGGCATGAGCCCAAGTCTTTGACTTTGGATTTATCAATTAGATCATAGTAGATCCCACATAAAGGGGTTCAAATCACGTAAACTCCATGCATGGGACCGAGTGTGAGACTTACGAACGCTGGATGGCTTACCAAGGCAGACGGGGCAGGAGGGCAGCTCTGTGAGGCCGGCAGGGGGCGTGGCTGCCTCCTCCTGTGAGGAGGACCCAGAGGGGGCTAGGCTAGGGTAACGGCCAGCGGCTTACCAAGGCAGACGGGGCAGGAGGGCAGCTCTGTGAGGCCGGCAGGGGGCGTGGCTGCCTCCTCCTGCGACCCCGTCACCACCACCTGCTTCGTGAACAGCACTCGGCACAGCTCGCTCTGACACGTGGGATGTGGGGGATGCGCATGATGGGGCGGAGAGAGGGGGGTGGCAAGACAACCTGTCACAACCTGCTTCGTGAACAGCACCAAACACAGCTCTCTCTGGCCCAATCGTGAGGGGAAAGGGAGGGAAGGGAGGGCAAGGAGGGTTGAAGAGGACAGGAGGGTTGGGGGAGGATTGGGGGAGGAGATGAGATGACAGAGGGGTGTTGGGAAGGCCAGGGAATGGCGGACAAGGGGGAGGAAAGAAGGCCTTTCTGTTTAAAAAAAGGCCAATCCCAGGTTTGTGTAAGGCAGAAAGCATGGGAGGGGAAGTAAGAACGCTTAAAAGAGCGCAAGCACAACCATTCGAACATGTGCACAGCATGTGATCACACGAAAACTTCCTGCTTCATTTCCTTATTCGGGTGCAAGCAGTGAGCAGTGAGGCATCACGAGTGCACAAATAAGTCAACTTGCACATTGAGAATTGTGGAGATTGTGGAGTACCTCCATGGAGGAGAAGGGCTTGTTGTTGAACTGCCTAAAGAAAACGTCCGCTGCCTCTTGGGACTTCATTCGCATGAGCACCATGTAGCGCTCTGATAGGCTGTCGTTCCTGGTATAGGGTTGACAGAGGGCAGAGAGGCCGGCAGGGGGCAGCAGCGGAAGCAGGGAGGGAAAAGGACTTCATTCGCATCCGCACCATGTAGCGCTCTGATAGGCTTAGGGTTTAGGGTGGGTAGATTTGAGAACGAGTGGACAACCGGGCATTGTGGGACAGAAACTACGAACGACAGTGATGCCTTGTCCCCCTACCTCCACTGAGTGGTAACCACAGCAGCCTAGCATTGTGGATGTGGTAACCACAGCAGCCTAGCATTGTGGATGTGGTAACCACATTACCCCACCTGATAAACGTATACTCTTCATGGTCACCGGCAGTCGTCTCGCCTCACCACACCACACCGCACTTCACCACACCTCGCCTCACCTCACCTCACATCACCGCACCGCACGCACCCCACCTGACGATGCGCATGCTCTCGATGGCACCCAGCAGTGCGCCAGTGAACTGGCAGAAGTCGGCGCCTGTCATGTACGTTGGCACTGCCAGCACACATAGCTCCACGCCCCTGTCGGGCTGATCAGGGGGGATGGAGTGGGTAGGATGAGAAATGGGCAGACAGCGTACATCAGAAGTCGGCGCCTGTCATGTATGGGGGCACTGCCAGCACGCATAGCTCCACGCCCCTGTCGGGCTGGTGAGGGGACACGGGAGAAAGGGGTCAGGGGGCACACAGGACATGGGCAAACAGAAAACAGCACAAGTCAACGGCTGTCATGTATATGGGTACTGCTAGCACGCACAGCTCCACGCCCCTGTCGGGCTGACAAGAAGGCGTGGTGTGGGTGGGTGGGAGAGAAGGCGAGACATCAAACCGCAAACAACACAAGTCGGCATGTACGTGGACAGTGCTAGCACACATAGCTCCTCGCCCCTGTCGGGCTGGTGAGGGAGCATGTGAAAGGAAAAGTGGAGAAGAGGCAACATGGGCAAACAGCAGACGGCAGGAGGCAAGACAGGCAAGGTAAGTGCGCAGTTCCCGCACACAGGCTGCACCCTGCAGTACACGGCCATTCACACCCTCACCGCCTTACTTGCTCCCACCGCCCCCAGAAATAGTCCCTCCACTCTCCCCCCCCCTCCCCCCCTTCTCCCCCTCCTCCCTTTTCCCCTTACTCCCCACCCCCTTCCCCCATGTCACCCATCAGCTCCTACCGGCAGGTTCTGCAGCGAGCCGGGGCTTTCCGCGGTGTTGCGGTATAGGTGAATCACGCCGCGCGTCGACTCCACCTTGGGATTGCCGGACGAGAACGGGATGCACTCGTTATTGTCACCTCGCGCGGTATCACCCGCACCGCCGGGATCCGCGGCTTCGCGGATTTCACCTTCGGGTTCCCCTGGCCGTTGGCCACGTGTCAGCGTCTCCGCATCTGACGCCAGCGAGGTGCTACTAGCGGCGTTAAGCGAGGCCCCGTTAGTAGCACGACGAACCGCGTCGCTGTAAGAGGTGACGGCGGCAGCGGTACTGGTCTGGGAGTTTGCGTCCACGTCAGCATGGACTTTGAGAGTGAACATGGTGAGAATAACGAAAGGGGGATAGCTTTTACGTGTTATCCTCTATGAGTGTCAGTATGTGGCCTCGATACAGGTCACTCTCTCTGTCCTCGATACAGGTCACTCGCTTTACTCTGCATACGGGTTGAGGACTACGACGACAATCGTGTAATTAGTATCTCCACCAGCCTGGTAAAGTTGCTTCAAGGTGGTGTAAAGAATGGTTCCGCGTCCCCGTGTCGCAACAGGGCTTGTTCTTCAAAAACACGAACTGAACGAGGGTCGCACAAAACGAACCGAAATTGACCTTTTGTGACACCCCACGCTTCGCGAAACCAAGCACCCAAAGATCCCGTCCATGGTTAGAAGTGTCACGCATGGTTCACATTTCGTTCAGATGAAGCGGTTGACTACGATGTTGTATATTCTAGAGCGGTTTGTTCTCTTCACCACTTTGAACCGCTACATAGTAGCCTGACCAGTGCTCCAGAGGTGCTGTGTGTGAGTTTCACACTGTAAGCTATGTAACCCATGTGTTACACGACCTAACATAGTTCGATCCGTGCGGCCCGGGAGCAAGACGCGATTTTCGCGCTGCTTTCACTAGTCGATTATTTTTTTCTTGGCGGGTTTACGAAGAGGCCAGCGACAGTCGCAGCGCGTCGCAATGGGGGTCGCCAAGGGGGCAGTGGCGACGGTGTCGGCGAACGAGTGCGACTTCATTCTCGCGGCGGTGCGCGACGAGCTGCGCGTCGATGGCCGCAAGCCCTTCGATTACCGCTCCTGGGACGTCTCTTTCGGCAGGTAGCCACTGTACGCGGTATAGGCTTAACCCATTCGCGGTATAGGTTCGAGCGTATTACTCTTGGTTGGAAGGAAGAAATATGAGACCCGGGTTTTAACGAATTCGGCGTGTGGGACAGCAGAGCCGCGTGCCTTGCGAAGCGCAGCTGTTCGCCTGGAATGTTCGCGATCTGGCAGCTTTCGGAAGCCCTCGTCATGTGTCACGATGATCACGCGCACCCCGCCGCATCCTTGCTTCTACCACACCACGTACCCAACTTCGTTGCCCACCTTCTTGCCCACCTCGTGCCGTCCATGTCGCACACTTCCACGCCGCCCGCCTTCATGCCGCCGTTATCCCGGAATCCTCTTCTTTCGTGCGCCCATTACATACACCCTTAACATCCTTCTCTCTCCACTGCCCATGAGAGCTTCACTTGCGATGGCACGTTCTCCTCCGCGAAACCAGCTTCGTGCCTCGTGCTGGTTCCTCCGCCTCACATTCCGCCCCGCGCGCCTGCTTCCTCGTCACCTGTCTCATGCTCGGCTTTTCCCAAGCCGTCAATGTTGTATCTCTTCCCCCAAACCTTCTTCCCCCAAACCTTCTTCCCCCAAACTCTCTTTCCCCAAACCCTCTTCCCCCAAACCCTCTTCCCCCAAACCCTCTTCCCCCAAACCCTCTTCCCCCAAACCCTCATCCCCCAAACCCTCGATCCCCAAACCTCTTTTTCCAAACCCTCTCTCCAATTTTCTGATGCAGGTCGCATGAGAGTTGATGGCACAGCAGAGGAGCAGGTGGAGTGGCCACCACCTGCATTCTCGCACTTCTGACCAGCCCTTTCTCCGCCCTTCCCTCCTCTCGCCCTCATCTTCTCTATCCTGCTCCATCCTCATCCCCCATCCCTTATCCCGCATCTCCCATGCCCATTGACGACGGTACAGCAGAGGTACAGCTGGCCTGGACGGACAGCAGCCATGGTCTCTCCTCCGTCTCAGCCGCCCTCACGCTGCCCTTCCCCGCTTCCTTCTCTCCTGCTCCTCACTCGCACCATTCCCTCCAACCCCCTCACTCTCTCCGCTCTACCAGGGACGACGGCACAGCAGAGGTACAACTGGGCAGCACGAGAGTGCTCGCCTCAGTATCCGCAGCCCTGACGCTGCCCTTCCCCGACCGCCCCAACGAAGGCTCCCTGGCCGTCTTCACGGAGCTCGCCCCCATGGCGGACCCGCGCTTCGTGCCCGGGCGACCAGGGGAGGACGCCATTGAGCTGGGGCGCATCATAGACCGCGGGCTCAGGTGAGCGTGGGGGTAGGGAAAAAGGCTCCCAGCGTCAATAAGGCAGAAGCTTTCCAGGGGGCTGCCTGCCTGCCATTGAGGGCTCCCTTGCCCTCATGACTGCCATTGTGCCCGGCCGCCCGGGGGGAGGGTGAGATTGAGGTGGGGCGCATCATTGAGTGCAGTCACGGTGACTGTGAGTGGTGGCGTAGATTCTGTGTCCTTGACCGCTGGTTGTGTTCTCCTTGCCCCGTACGGAGGCGTACCACACCACACCACTCAACCGTCCACAATGAGGGAGAGCATGCAGTGGACTCGAAGATGCTATATAGTTTCCCGCCCTCCACCATTGTCTCTGCTCCTCCCATCCCCATTCCCATTCCTATCCCCATCCCGACCACACCACCGCAAACAGGAGAAGCCGTGCGGAGGACACAGAGTCGCGCTGTGTGTGGTGGCAGGGCAGGGACGCTGTGTGGTTGTTTCTCATCCCCCATCCATCCCCACCACCCCTCACGCCACATTAGGGAGAGCCATGCGGTGGACACGGAGTCGCTGTGTGTGGTGGCGGGGAGGGCAGCGTGGGCGCTCAGGCTGGACATTCGAGTCATGGACAATGATGGGTGAGAGGCATGGACAATGATGGGTGAGAGGCATGGACAATGATGGGTGCGAGGCATGGACAATGATGGGTGAGAGGCATGGACAATGATGGGTGAGAGGCATGGACAATGATGGGTGAGAGGCATGGACAATGATGGGTGAGAGGGATGGACAATGATGGGTGCGAGGCATGGACAATGATGGGTGAGAGGCATGGACAATGATGGGTGAGAGGCATGGACAATGATGGGTGAGAGGCATGGACAATGATGGGTGAGAGGCATGGACAATGATGGGTGAGAGGCATGGACAATGATGGGTGCGAGGCATGGACAATGATGGGTGAGAGGCATGGACAATGATGGGTGCGAGGCATGGACAATGATGGGTGAGAGGCATGGACAATGATGGGTGAGAGGCATGGACAATGATGGGTGAGAGGCATGGACAATGATGGGTGAGAGGCATGGACAATGATGGGTGAGAGGCATGGACAATGATGGGTGCGAGGCATGGACAATGATGGGTGAGAGGCATGGACAATGATGGGTGAGAGGCATGGACAATGATGGGTGAGAGGCATGGACAATGATGGGTGAGAGGCATGGACAATGATGGGTGCGAGGCATGGACAATGATGGGTGAGAGGCATGGACAATGATGGGTGAGAGGCATGGACAATGATGGGTGAGAGGCATGGACAATGATGGGTGCGAGGCATGGACAATGATGGGTGAGAGGCATGGACAATGATGGGTGAGAGGCATGGACAATGATGGGTGCGAGGCATGGACAATGATGGGTGCGAGGCATGGACAATGATGGGTGCGAGGCATGGACAATGATGGGTGAGAGGCATGGACAATGATGGGTGAGAGGCATGGACAATGATGGGTGAGAGGCATGGACAATGATGGGTGCGAGGCATGGACAATGATGGGTGAGAGGCATGGACAATGATGGGTGAGAGGCATGGACAATGATGGGTGAGAGGCATGGACAATGATGGGTGCGAGGCATGGACAATGATGGGTGAGAGGCATGGACAATGATGGGTGAGAGGCATGGACAATGATGGGTGCGAGGCATGGACAATGATGGGTGCGAGGCATGGACAATGATGGGTGCGAGGCATGGACAATGATGGGTGAGAGGCATGGACAATGATGGGTGAGAGGCATGGACAATGATGGGTGAGAGGCATGGACAATGATGGGTGCGAGGCATGGACAATGATGGGTGAGAGGCATGGACAATGATGGGTGAGAGGCATGGACAATGATGGGTGCGAGGCATGGACAATGATGGGTGCGAGGCATGGACAATGATGGGTGCGAGGCATGGACAATGATGGGTGAGAGGCATGGACAATGATGGGTGAGAGGCATGGACAATGATGGGTGAGAGGCATGGACAATGATGGGTGCGTGCTGATGATGATGGGTGCATGCTGCATGTGGTCATGTGGTGGTGGAGCGGATGTGTTTTGAGTTGACTCAAAGCGCTCACAGGCTGGACATTTGAGTCATGGACGGCGATGGATTGGAGTCATTGTGGGAATGCTGCATGGAATGGCAATGGTGTCACCATGCACATGCAGTAGTGGTCAAGGATGAGTCCTCTCTCTTTCCCCTCTCCGTGTGTTGTCCTGGTAATTCCATATATTCTATACCCGTCCTTCTTCTATACCACCCTCCTTCGTCTCTCTTTCCCATGCGTAGCAACCTCGTGGATGCGTGCTGTCTGGCAGCAGTGGCAGCGCTGCTGGCGTTCCGCCGGCCAGAAGTGACAGTGGGGGGGGACGACGGCATGCAAGTGGTGGTGCACTCAGTGGAGGTGAGCGCCTCAGCTTCACACAAGCTTTCGTTGCCCTTCATCCTTACACACTCTCTTCCCTCCGCGCATTTCTTTGCGGGTCTTCTTGCTGCATCATCCTCTCTGCACCCATGCACATCCACATCGCTCAACACGCTTCCTTCCCCCTCCATCCCCCTCTCCCCCCTCCCCTCCACCCCCCCAGAAGCGAGACCCAATACCCCTCATGGTGCACAACCTGCCCTTGGCTGTCACCATCACCTTCATTCATCTGCCCACCCTCAAACTTTCTTCTCTCCTCCGCTTCCCGCTCTCCCGCTCCCCTCACAGGAGCGCGGCCCCATACCCCTCACAGTGCACAGCCTGCCTCTCGCAGTCGCCTTCGCCTTCTTCAATGTACCCTCCACCTCGCTGCTTCCCTCTCATCCTTCCCCCCACCATCCCGCCTCTCCCCACTCCCGTCCCCCTCCCAGGAGCGCGACCCCATACCACTAACGGTGCACAACCTGCCGCTGGCTGTCAGCTTCGCCTTTTTTAACGACGGCAACGACGTGGTGCGTGACGGACGGGTTATGAGGTGTGAGTGAGCGGCGTGCCATCAGTGATTGAGAGCCCGTGCCAACATTGCCAAGAGGGAAAATCACATCAGGGTTGGTGAGTTCCTGCCCCTGGCTGTCAGCTTCGCCTTTTTCAACGACGGCAACGACGTGGTGCGTGACGGACGGGTTATGAGGTGTGAGTGAGCGGCGTGCCATCAGTGATTGAGAGCCCGTGCCAACATTGCCAAGAGGAAAAATCACATCAGGGTTGGTGAGTTCCTGCCCCTGGCTGTCAGCTTCGCCTTTTTCAACGACGGCAACGATGTGGTGCGTGCGTGCCAGGCATCTCAAACACGTGGTGACAGGCGTGAGTGCACGCCGTCTCATACTGGTTCCCTCTGGGAATCTAACAGCGAAGTCCCATCCCATGGCTGTCAAATCCCCATCGTATTGAGCACTGCACCATGTCCTTGGCTCTCCTCCAAGCTCACAGCTTCTCGTCCTCGTGAGCCACGTGGGAGGGGCGTCCTCTTGTGTCATCCAAGGAACATCCAGAGGCGCCGATTCAAGGTGCTGTCGAAAGGAACTTGTAATTGTAGTACATTGAGATCATGTCATGTCTTCTGTCATGTGCACACACAGCCTTCTTCCTTCTTTCAGTCAGGACACTCATGCTCTTGCCGCAGCTGGCGGGAGGCAAGTCCGGTAGCGCATGCGAGGATACAAGGAGTGGTTGTGCTAACTGCGGGGTGGGCAACGCTGCCCATGCGCAGAACATATGCATGAACTGAATCGGCATGGGCAACGCTGTCTGGTTGGTTGCTCAACCTGAACGAGCAACCAGCAAAGGCTGGGAGGGAGGACACAGCTCCGTCCTGCATGTCATTCCTGTGCTCCTGAACCAAGCAACCACGTGCATCCCACAACCCACATGATGCAACCCACAACCAAGCTTGAAATGACTTTGAGTAACTCAAGAGCGAACCGCATCGCCCCACCCAACCGCCTCTCAGGTTCCGTTACCCGTGTCCCTCCTCCCTCCCACCACCCGCCGCCAACCATTTCATAACAGGTGATGGATAGGCAGCACAGGCGGGGCGGTGCACGGTGCTGGGGAATGCGGTGGGGGATGTGTGCAGTGTGCAGAAGGGCGGGGGCGTGGGCATGATAGTCGTCGAGCTCATACACCGACTGACCCAACCCCTGTGGCAGCCATCCCATGGCAGCACACGGACTAGCTTCAGGGAGGAAGCGGCACATGCGGGGTGGCAGTGCAGCGTGCAGACAGGCGGCGGTGTGGGTGTGTCGCTCCCCGATCTCATACACCTACCTACACCCCGTGCGTCCCACCATCCCACCTCACGTCATGAATCCTAGTTGTGAGGAGGAGGCAGCGCAGGCGGGGCGGTGCACAGTGCTGGTGAACGCGGTGGGGGCGTGTGCAGCGTGCAGAAGGGCAAGAGGGGCGTGGGCTTGTTACCACCACTGACCTCGCCCCTGTGACCCCAACCTCCTGCGTCCAACCAACCATGTCGCACCATCCCATGGCAGGTGATGGACCCGAGTTACAAGGAAGAAGCAGCCCAGGCGGGGCGCTGCACTGTGCTGGTGAACGCGGTGGGGGACGTGTGCAGCGTGCAGAAGGGAGGGGGTGTGGGCGTGTCGCTGCCGCAGCTCATGCGCTGCAGCCGCGTTGCTGCCTCCGTGGCCCAGCACATGATCAAAACGCTCACTGATAAGGTGGGGTGGGTGGGACAAGGTGCTGACAAGCTGCCGAGGAATAAGGTGGGTTGCATGGATGGAGGTGTTGAGAGATGCAGTGACTGTGGGTTGCGGTGGTGCTCATGTCGCTTCTTCTGTAATTCAGCACATGATGAACCAGCAGGGGGGGCAAGGTAACTGAGAAGCTCAATGCGGTTGATTGTTTTTTAGGTGCCCCAAAAGTCAATGAGATTGCTTGCTGCTTAAGCGTGGAGGAATAAGAGCAGAGATACACGAGCGCTTTAGCCTGTAGCCATGCAAGAGCCATCATTCACCTTGCTACACGTCGCCCTGCTTGCCATCTTCACGCTCCCCCCACCCCACTCCCCCAACCACCCGCGTCTTGCTCACTGTGGCCCACCAGGTAGCAGCGCTGGCAGCCGAGAGGCAGAGGCGCAAGGTGAAGCGACACGCCTCCCCTGCTGCGGCTGCTGCAGCAGCAACAGTGGGGTTGGACACAGCAGCAGGCGGATCGAAGGCCGGGGTGATTGGTGTGGCGGAGATTGCTGCCGTGCAGAAGAAAGGAGGGGGCGTGCGGCAAGGGCAGGCGGGTGCCGATGGTGGAGGGGGTGGGGTGAAGGAGGAGCAGATGGAGGAAGGTGGAGAGGAGGAGGAGGGGGAGGAGGAATCAAGCGATGGGGAGGATGGTGATGAGGAGGAAGAAGAGGAGGGTGAAGGGGATAAGGGGCGAGGGGGAGCAGCAGGAGGGGGTGTGGATGCACTCTTTGAAGGAGGGGTGTCATCGTGGTGAGTTTGTTCTCTCTCTCTCTCTCGGCCGTCCAAGTGCTTCTCTCAGTCCCAGGGCATGGGCGCCCATGTGCAATGGGCTTTAACTCATGGGCATGGGCGCTGGAGTATACACGATGAGCTTTTATGGCTGCGTGTTGACATAGATGGGCATGAAAGTGCCCTTCATGCCCTGCTCTCAGCTACCTTGTTGCTCTGTGCTCATGACGTCAGCTGCTTGCATTCATGTCTCGTCTGCGCGCCTCCTTGTGTGTTGGCTCATGGGTCACAGGTTGCAAGAGGAGGGTGGCGAGAAGAAGAGCAAGAAGGGGCCAACAGCAGGTGACGCCTCTTCTCATCCTCCCCTCATCCTCCTCTTGTCCTCTCATCCTTCTCTTGTCCAATCACACTACCCGCATCGCTTCACAATTATACACACTCCCCTTGTCTCACACTCACACCCGCTCACATTGTCTTACACTCACACCCGCTCCCATTGTCTCGCACTCACACCCGCTCCCATTGTCTCGCACTCACACCCGCTCCCATTGTCTCGCACTCACACCCGCTCCCATTGCCTCCCAGAGTCACACCTTGTCTTCCCTCTCCACCTAACCAACCCCTTCTCCACTCCCCTCTCCTCCCCTCCCCGTCTGCCCGCCCCTCTGCCCGCACCACCCCAGCCCACCTGCTGCCCTCCGAGGTGACTTTTGAGTCGACTCAAAACCACACCCCCCTGCCTCCCCGTCCCAATTAACCATTTCCATTCCCCCTTCCCTCCCCATACCACCCCAGCCCAACTGGGATCAGAGCTAGACGCCATTGCCGACCTGCTTCCATCCACTGCCGCCCTGCATGCCCCTGTCTCCAAGGCCTCTGCCGTCCGTGCCATGCCGCCCGCTGGGAAAGGTAAAGACGAGCCCAGCGCATCAGCAGCAGAGGCAGATGCAGCAGTGGCAGTGGCAGGTGCGGGGAGCAGGGTGAAGGAGGAGCCGCTCACACTGGCTGATGCGGTGAAGAAGCCGAAGAAGAAAAAGAAGAGCAAGGCAGAGCAATGACGACAGGTTGTGTTGACGCGCATACGCACTGACTGATGGACTGGCTGGGTTGTGCGTGGTGATAGATGACGGGTTCAAAGAGCCAGCATTGCTTCGTGTTGAGGGGTGTGCATTGAAGGTTATGGGCATTTTGTGGTTACCCAAAAGCTGTCCAGATTTTATCGATTATAACAAGAATGTGTCATATAGGTTTTCTTTCTCATATGTTGTGAGTCTCTTTGAAACAGCACACCTTGATCACTTGCGACATTTCTTGGATATCTGACATTGGACAAGGCACTGCCAAGATGGTTGCACAGTAAGTCATAAACCATGATGATGAACAAGAACGAAGTCACACTCTCTACAATAGGATTGAATCCAGCAGCAGCTATGCTGGTGCCTCCTCCCCCATCACAAGCTGCACATGCAGCAGCAGAGGGCAGGGGGTAGAGAGGAGAGATGGGATTCAGGAGACGCAAAATAGAGAGAGAGAGAGAGAAGCAGAAGACGCACTGCGGGATAGGGCATGAAGTGTGGGTGGGGGTGTGAAGCATGGGAGTGTGATGTGATGAACATCCATCCATCGTGAAAACGAAAAAGAAACGCTCCCTGCACCATGCCTGCACCTCACAGTATGCCTGGCATTGCCTGCTCCTCTTCCCTTGGCCACCTCAAAGTGAAGCCGCAACGTGCCGTGCGACTCAGTAAGAATATCTTATCTTAGGTTGCCTCATCGTAAGCACGTCTCGCATTCAGCACATCTCTCCTTAGGCACGTCTCACGTAGAGCGTGTCTCAAAATAAGCGTGTTTCACTTCAAGCATGTCTCGCTATAGGCATGTCTCACCTCGAGCATGTCTCGCTATAAGCATGTTCACCTTGAGCATGTCTCGCTATAAGCATGTTCACCTTGAGCATGTCTCACCTTGAGCATGTCAGTTAGGAAGTTGGGTGCTGCTGCAGGCCGCGGCACTCCAAAGAGGCGGAAGGCAATGTCGTCTAACAGCTGCGTGGACGAGGCCAAGGGGGGTTAAAGTTTCATTGCACAGTTTCGGGCAGGGACGAAAAGGTGCGGTGGGGTCGGTATGTGGTCGGGAGGTCGTACGAAGAGTGGAGAGAGAGAAAAGAAGGAGATATCAACAAGATTCAATTAATGTTTTCCAAAGGCGAGGGTGTAGGGAGCAAGGAGGGCTGCAGGCTCCTACAGCAGGTAGTGCACATGAGCAGAGCTATAGGCTGAAGGCACTGGCAGAGCAGCAGAGAAAAGGGGATAGGAACGGCCAGCGAAGTGAGGGACGAGAAGAAGAGGGGAGGAGAGGGAGGGAAGGTCAAGGGAGTGCGAGAAAGAGGAGGGAAGATTTGAAGTGAGGAGGGTAGGCGTGATACGGTGAGGAGCAGGGACCCCTGAAGTGAGGAGATGATACGTGAGCGGGTGAAGAGAAGGGACCCTTGAAATGAGGAGGGAAACCGTGAGGAAGAGAGGAGCCGGGACCCAGGAAGGGACATACAGGAGGGAAGGCAGGGTCGCGTTGGAGGGACGGCTCGTAGCGGCGGCGCAGATGAGACAGCAGCGATGGCGCCCTGCGATCAGCTCTGTGTGATGTTGAGGGGATGAGGGGAGGTGGGTGGGGAGAGTGTTGAGGGGAGGAAAAAAAGCAGATGAGACAACAGCGATGGCGCCCTGCGGTCAGCTCTGACTGATGTTGAGGGGATGAGGGGAGGGTGGGGGTTTATGAGACGTCTCAAAATTCAGCTATGAGTGATGGTGAGGGGTGGTGGAGAGGGGGAAGGGGGGAAGTTTGGAGGGAAGGGGGAGCGTTAGGGAACATTGGTGCAACATGAGACTGCAACATTGGTGCAACATGAGACTGCAACATTGGTGCCACATGAGACTGCAACATTGGTGCCACATGAGACTGCAACATTGGTGCCACATGAGACTGCAACATTGGTGCCACATGAGACTGCAACATTGGTGCCACATGAGACTGCAACATTGGTGCCACATGAGACTGCAACATTGGTGCCACATGAGACTGCAACATTGGTGCCACATGAGACTGCAACATTGGTGCCACATGAGACTGCAACATTGGTGCCACATGAGACTGCAACATTGGTGCCACATGAGACTGCAACATTGGTGCCACATGAGACTGCAACATTGGTGCCACATGAGACTGCAACATTGGTGCCACATGAGACTGCAACATTGGTGCCACATGAGACTGCAACATTGGTGCCACATGAGACTGCAACATTGGTGCCACATGAGACTGCAACATTGGTGCCACATGAGACTGCAACATTGGTGCCACATGAGACTGCAACATTGGTGCCACATGAGACTGCAACATTGGTGCCACATGAGACTGCAACATTGGTGCCACATGAGACTGCAACATTGGTGCCACATGAGACTGCAACATTGGTGCCACATGAGACTGCAACATTGGTGCCACATGAGACTGCAACATTGGTGCCACATGAGACTGCAACATTGGTGCCACATGAGACTGCAACATTGGTGCCACATGAGACTGCAACATTGGTGCCACATGAGACTGCAACATTGGTGCCACATGAGACTGCAACATTGGTGCCACATGAGACTGCAACATTGGTGCCACATGAGACTGCAACATTGGTGCCACATGAGACTGCAACATTGGTGCCACATGAGACTGCAACATTGGTGCCACATGAGACTGCAACATTGGTGCCACATGAGACTGCAACATTGGTGCCACATGAGACTGCAACATTGGTGCCACATGAGACTGCAACATTGGTGCCACATGAGACTGCAACATTGGTGCCACATGAGACTGCAACATTGGTGCCACATGAGACTGCAACATTGGTGCCACATGAGACTGCAACATTGGTGCCACATGAGACTGCAACATTGGTGCCACATGAGACTGCAACATTGGTGCCACATGAGACTGCAACATTGGTGCCACATGAGACTGCAACATTGGTGCCACATGAGACTGCAACATTGGTGCCACATGAGACTGCAACATTGGTGCCACATGAGACTGCAACATTGGTGCCACATGAGACTGCAACATTGGTGCCACATGAGACTGCAACATTGGTGCCACATGAGACTGCAACATTGGTGCCCCATGAGACTGCAACATTGGTGCCACATGAGACTGCAACATTGGTGCCACATGAGACTGCAACATTGGTGCCCCATGAGACTGCAACATTGGTGCCACATGAGACTGCAACATTGGTGCCACATGAGACTGCAACATTGGTGCCACATGAGACTGCAACATTGGTGCCACATGAGACTGCAACATTGGTGCCACATGAGACTGCAACATTGGTGCCACATGAGACTGCAACATTGGTGCCACATGAGACTGCAACATTGGTGCCACATGAGACTGCAACATTGGTGCCACATGAGACTGCAACATTGGTGCCACATGAGACTGCAACATTGGTGCCACATGAGACTGCAACATTGGTGCCACATGAGACTGCAACATTGGTGCCACATGAGACTGCAACATTGGTGCCACATGAGACTGCAACATTGGTGCCACATGAGACTGCAACATTGGTGCCACATGAGACTGCAACATTGGTGCCACATGAGACTGCAACATTGGTGCCACATGAGACTGCAACATTGGTGCCCAGGGATGAAACCTGCGTGGTGGTCACGGGATGAAAGGTGCGGTGGTGGGAGCAGGGGGGATGGTGGGAGCAGGGGGGATGGTGGGAGCAGGGGGGATGGTGGGAGCAGGGGGGATGGTGGGAGCAGGGGGGATGGTGGGAGCAGGGGGGATGGTGGGAGCAGGGGGGATGGTGGGAGCAGGGGGGATGGTGGGAGCAGGGGGGATGGTGGGAGCAGGGGGGATGGTGGGAGCAGGGGGGATGGTGGGAGCAGGGGGGATGGTGGGAGCAGGGGGGATGGTGGGAGCAGGGGGGATGGTGGGAGCAGGGGGGATGGTGGGAGCAGGGGGGATGGTGGGAGCAGGGGGGATGGTGGGAGCAGGTGGGGTGGTGGGAGCAGGTGGGGTGGTGGGAGCAGGTGGGGTGGTGGGAGCAGGTGGGGTGGTGGGAGCAGGGGGGGTGGTGGAAGCAGGTGGGGTGGTGGGAGCAGGTGGGGTGGTGGGAGCAGGGGGGTGGTGAGAGCAGGTGGGGGGTGAGAGGACGTGGATTGATGGTGAGATCAGGTGGAGTGGGGTGAGAGCAGGTGGAGTGGTGTGGGGAGGGCTTACGCAGTGAGGAGGAGATCAGTGAAGCGAAGGAGGGGAGACTCCTGCCACATGCCTGCTGTAGCATCCGCACTGTCTGCACCAGCAGCATCGCCATCAGCAGCAGCAGCAGCAGCAGCAGCAGCAGCAGCAGCGCTGTCTGCTCCCCAGATGTGTGCCTGCTGTGTCTTGAGCTCGTGCCACAGTTGTTTGCCCTGCTGCAGTCGCCCTGCCGCCAAGCACCTGGGAGGGAGTGGGGGAGAATGGCCGAAAGGGTGCATTGGCGAGAGGATGCATGGGCGAGGGGGGGCATGGGCGAGGGGGAGCATGGGCGAGGGGGGGTATGGGCGAGGGGGGGCATGGGCGAGGGGGGGCATGGGCGAGGGGGGGCATGGGCGAGGGGGGGCATGGGCGAGGGGGGGCATGGGCGAGGGGGGGCATGGGCGAGGGGGGGCATGGGTGAGGGGGGGCATGGGCGAGGGGGGGCATGGGCGAGGGGGGGGCATGAGTGAGGGGGGGCATGGGCGAGGGGGGGCATGAGCCAATGGTCCAAAGATTTGTCGCTGCAGTCGCCCTGCTGCCAAAAGCCTGGGAGAACGGGGGCATGGGGGAGGCGAGGTAGGCGACAAGCCGAGCCACATTATCGGGAAATGAGACGGAAGGTGGGCTGCTAAAGCGCGGGCAATATGGAGAGGCGCGAGAAGAAAGGGGATGTGTAAAAAGAAGCGAAAGAGTGCGTTTTGTGGTAAAGTTCAATATCTTTCTGGGGCATGGCATGGTAGACCACAAAACGCACTCTGTCATGGCAGACCCCAAGCATGAGAGTTTTTGCACAGCATCCATTTTGGGGTGGCGGCATGAAACTTTAGATTCTCCCTCGACCAGAAGGCGTAGCATGTCAGTGCATGCCGACAGCCCATTCACTGACATGCCGATACCAAGTGAGAGACTGAGAAAGCGGTGGTGAGATGGAGAGCACACATAGAGTTCTAAACCAGAAAATCCTTTCCATAGACTCGAAAGGATCCGATTGCAAGGGGCAGCACTTACTGGAGCACAGCCCTGGCAATGACGAGGTCCCTCTCGCCGAGGTAGCACTGCAGCGCACACACAGCGCAATGGAAGGAGGCAAGCAGAGGGACAAGGAAGGAATATTTGGAGGGGCCTAAGAAGGCCAAATGCATTTTGCAAAGGTAGCGGTGCAAATCATAGTGCAACGGAAGGAAGGGATCAGAGGAAAGGGACGGCAGGAGAACAAAAGAAATTTGATATGTGGGAAGGAAGGGTGGCAGTGAACGCCGAAGATGGAGGAAACATGGAGAACCCAGTGTGGAGCCGTTGCTGGGCAAAGCAGGAATTCATGATTGAATTGCAAGCTGTGTGCAGCACACACACACGCCCCCTGTTGCTATCGCATAGAATGCTGTGTGCAAGGCACCTCCAGGCACACATCCCTGTTGCTACCTGCTGTGCGTAATCCGCCAGGCTGTGAGCAAAGAGGGCTGGGTCGTCTGAGTACACAAAGTGGAAGAATGCCGCTGCATAGTCCTGCATGGGAGAGATGGGAGGAGGACAATTGGGTCGACTCAGACGAGGTGTGGGTTGTGTGAGCACACAAAGTGGAAGAACGCTGCTGCAGTTTCTGAGGATACATGATGGAGGAGATGGACATGGGATGGAGAAGCATCAGTAGCGAGGACAACACGAGGTGCGCAAGCATGAGGTGTAGTATGGAGGGGAAAGAAAGAGGGGGGAAGGAAGAAGGACCGACTTTTTTGTGCAGAGGCAGCTGGGAGTGGAGGCAGTGAGAGAGCATGGGGTGAATGGGTGGGGAGCCCAGGAAGGCCAGGGCGGAGGAAGATTGGGAGGGGGAAGAGGGAGAGGGATGTGAGGAGGAGTGGGAAGGGAAGAGGAGGGGGAATGAAAGAGGGGGAATAAGGGGGCCGAAGGGGGAGAGGAGAAAAAGAAAGTACGGACCCGTTTATGAGGAGGCAGCTGGGAGGAGAGGCACTGGGCGAGCATGAGGTGGATGGCCGGCGAGCCCAGGGAGGCCAGGGCGGCGGGTGAGGACGAGGTGAGCGAAGAGGGCTTTGCTTGTGCTTGCGGGCTGGATGGGGCGGATAGCATCTCGGGGAACCGGGCGGACCACCTGGTGCGAGGGAGTGAGGGGACAGAGAGGAAGGGCAGGGTGGGGCAGGGGGGGATGGTTTGTAGGGAGGTGGGTTCGCCTGGGGGCTGGATGAGGCGGAGAGCATTTTGGGGGAATGGGCGGACCAGCTGGGGAGGGAGAGAGGGAGGAGAGTGCAAGAGTTAGGCCGCACTTGTACTTTGTGCCTTGGTAGAAGTGTCAGTGGTGTAGGAGTGTGCCTGTAAGTTGGTTGGACTTTGCACCTCTAATCCAATCAGCATATTTGAGATTCTGGCAAACTCCAATAGGAACTCGCTCCGATTTCCTTCGCATCCATCCCCACGGCACGTACTTAAAAGTGGCTCTTCGAATTAACCACCGGGGGACAGACTAGACATGACGAGGCATACAATTGTGAGACATAAACCAGCCAAGGCATGGACTCGGGTGCACAACTGTATGGGACTTGAGTGCAGCTCTGACGAACCGCTTGCACCCATCCGCTCTGAGCCTCACCGCCTCCTTGGATTCACCGGGTAGCAGACCATAAGGGGTGACGGAGCGAGGCAGACACATGAGTGCAGATCCACCAGTTCAGCTAAAGCCCTCTTGAAGCTACAATCCAGATAACACTTACTTAAGTGCGGCTCTTAGAAACCGCTTACACCCGTCCACTCTGAGCCTGGCCGCCACCTCAGTTTCACCAGGAAGCAAACCGGATGGGGCGGTTGAGCGCGGGAAGCTGATGTACACGGCGGTGATGCGCTCTGGAGGGGGGTAGGAGGGGGAGGGGACAAGGGGAGGTAGGCCGGAAGACGTGAGAGGACGAGGGAGTCGGTCGGAGCAGACGGTGTGGACGGCTGTGATGCGGTGCGCTGTTGGGAAGGGAGGTTGATGCGAGGCAGACGGCACCAGAAGCAGATGAGATGGAAGGTCGCAGTGGGGGCAGATGAGTGGGGGCAGATGAGTGGGGGCAGATGAGTGGGCACTGATGCACATAAGGGCTCAGCAGCCTGGCACTCAGCGCTCACCCAGTGAGTCCTCCCAGCAGGGCGCCTCAGTTAAAGGTAGTAAGTCGGTGAGCAGCAGAGCGCGCTCCACGCCGCTCGTCACCTGCCCGTGCCGCACACCTGTGCGTGCTAGCAGATGGTAAAGGGCTCCATTTCAAGCCACCCTCGCACTGACAGCTCACCCAGGGAGTCCTCCCAGCAGGGCGTCTCAGAGGAGGAGAGCAAGTCCGTGAGCAGCAAGGCGAGCTCCACTCCGCTCGTCACCTGCCCGTGCTGCAGCTGCACACACGCGCCTGACTGCAGCAGTGCCATGGCGTCTTCATACTTGAACTGCGAGGAGTACCTGCAAAAGTGGGGGGGCGCAAGAGCGGCAGGAGGAACCATCATCCCCCACTGCTGCCGCTGCACACATGCTCCTAACTGCAGCAGCGCCATGGCGTCCTCGTGATTGAACTGCTAGGAGTACCTGGGCGGGAGAGAGAGTGGGGGTGGGGGGCACAAGAGGGGCAGAACCATCACCAACCAATGCAGTTGCACGCGCACGAATGCCTGCAGCAGTGCCATGGCGTCTTCGTACTTCAAATGCGATGAGTACCGTGCAGGGAGGACTAGAAGCAACAGGCTTATCTGAGCATGCCAACTTTCTGCAGCTGTGTGCATTTACAAGGAAATCATTACGAAGCAAAACAATTTCAAATAAAAAACACCTTGAAGCATATAAGCAACTTGCAGCGAATCGTTAGGCATGCATGCAAATCAAGAAGTGATGTGCCTCGTAGAACTCCCCGTCCTTCACACAAACCCCCTGGATGCTAATGACCTGGAAGAGAATCACGTTCAAGCGAACCTGCACTTCACCTTATAACGAATCAAATAGTAGAATTTACCTTGTAGCGAGGCTCTTGTAGAGCTGCTGTGCCTCGTAGAACTCCCCATCCTTCACTCTCCGCGCTAACCGCTCCTGCACCTGCTGCTACGCAGATGCACATGCGGATGCATGCCACCATGCCCCCACCCCATCCATACACAATTGACATGCCCAATTTGACATGCACGCACACCCAGCTCAAAGCAGCAAGAGAGGTGAGAGGGATCTGAGTCTGCAGAGAGAGAGAGGCAGAGGGTGCGTGAGGCGCACATGGGCGAATGAATTCAACAGTGCATGATGATGATGATGATGATGATGAGAACAATCATTCTTCAATTTTGCCTTGCCGCTGCTGCTCGCCTTGCCGCTGCTGCTCGCCTTGCGAGTGCGGTGGCTGTCGCCCCCCTTGTCCCCCTGCCCCCCTGTCGCCCCCCATGTCCCCCTGCCCCCTGTCGCCCCCCATCTCCCCCTGCGCCCTGTCGCCCCCCATGTCCCCCTGCCCCCTGTCGCCCCCCATGTCCCCCTGCGCCCTGTCGCCCCCCATGTCCCCCTGCCCCCCTGTCGCCCCCCATGTCCCCCTGCCCCCCTGTCGCCCCCCATGTCCCCCTGCCCCCTGTCGCCCCCCATGTCCCCCTGCCCCCTGTCGCCCCCCATGTCCCCCTGCCCCCTGTCGCCCCCCATGTCCCCCTGCCCCCTGTCGCCCCCCATGTCCCCCTGCCCCCTGTCGCCTTGAAACTCAAATGTGCTGCTGGTCACTCGCCTTGCCAGTGCGGTCGCTGTCGCCCCCCATGCCCCCCTGCCCCCTGCCGCCTACTGCCTGTTTCCTGTTCTCTGCCGAATGCTGTCTGCCGCGTGCCACCTGTTGCCTGCCGCCTGCCGCCTGCCACCTTTTGCCTGCTGTCTGCAGTGTGTCGCCTGTTGGAAGGTGCTGGGTGGTGGGATGCGGCGGAGGACGGATAGGGGGTGGGAGGTTCGGAGAGATGGGGGGATGGATCAAGGGAGGGACGGAAAGGGGTTGATGGGAGGGGGTGAGACGGAGAGGATGAAGGGGGAGAATGGGATGGGTGGGGACGAGAGTGGAAGGGAAGGGCGAAGGACAGAGCGAGTGCTCCTACCTCTCACACATGCCATTCACCAATATCCACCTTTACTTGTGCCTCTTCCCTTCACAGCCTCCTCGTCTTACGGCCCCACCCCAGCTCCTCGCCATCGCGGCTCACCAATTGCAATCCCAGTCCTGCCCTGTATCGAAACCGTTTCAAACAAATATCAAAAGTCACTCCGCGCCTATTCTCTCTCGCCTCCGCTCAGCCTCCTTCCCTCACGCCGCGCCCCACCTGCCTCACCCTTCGACGATGCGCCACGCACTGATTGGCTGGGACAAAGCCGACCCCGATGGGCCCTGGTTGTCGCCTGTGACAGTGTCGGGTGGCGCTCAAAATAGTGTTAGACTATATGATGCCCTGGTTGTCGCCTGTATCGACAGCTACTATGGCGTGTAAGGATGCCGCGAGTGGGGTTGTGTAACGTACGCTGAGCCTAGCGAATCCTCGGTGTTAACAGAGCCGTTTGCAGAGAGCGATTTATAACTCGTAACACCTAACCTTGTATGATATTAATCATTGATAAAAATGACATCAAACGCATTTAACTACACCACATCTTCCACAAAAACCAGATTTTGTTTACGGTACCAGTTTGCCATACCTACCCTTATTGGGTCTAGATTGTCATGAGTTGTCAAAGACAGTATGCGAAATTAACGAATAGTGAAGCTGTGACAAAATTAGTAGTGGCGATGCCATTAAAGCAAGGGTGCACTTTGGGGGGGGTGGAGGCAAAGGTTTATCACTTGCCTCCCCTTCCGTCGTCTGTTCCCCCAGCCTAACTCGCGGACGAATTGTTTTTGTGTTCACCAGCACATTCTGAAACCCTTGCTCCAGTGTTTCATATGGTGGACTCTTCGCCAACCATTCATAGCACCCTAAGGGGTGTACCAAAGCAATACACCCGAAAACCACCCCTAGGAATGTGCACCCTTGCTTTAAAGTGGCGTGGTTATGTAGCAGGGAACCAGGTCCAGCGCGTACGTTTACAGCTCGTTCTGTGCAGCTAATCGTGAAGTGTCGCGATGTAAAACGGTAAGAATTGGGGAGATGAGGCTCGGAAGGTTGGCAAAAGGTGCGGTGGTTCACGACGAAAAGAAAGGTCGAACCAGCTGACAATAATTCCTTCGGAAGCGTACTCGTTGTAATGTGCTATGGTACGGAATGGCCGTTTCTTACAGTCTCCCTCCCAGGGCCTAAGATATCAGGCTTTTTACGCTGATTTCACTGATTGTCAGGGTTTTTTTTATTTACGCCTGCTTTTTCTGCATTTTTTTTTGTTTTTAACCAAGGCTGTTTTTTCAGCCTTGTTTTCATATTGAACACCGACTTTTCAGCCTGTTACAATCCTAACACGGTACCTTGTCTCTGGTCTTCCCAGGGTTCTCCCTCCCCTCCCACCCTCGCCTGCTCCTCCCTGTCTTCCCTGTGTCGAGGGGCGGCAGCGCGCCGCTCCTCACTCCTCCTCGTTTCCCCCGACGACTGCTCCCTTGCAGACGCTCCACATGGACGTGTGGGGCCCAGCCCGCGTCCGTGGTCAGGGTCAGGAAAGGTACTTCCTGATAGTTGTTGACGACTACTCGCGCTACACCACGGTCTTCCCCTTGCGCACCAAGGGTGAGGTCCCTGATGTTTTGATCCCTTGGATCCGCGCTTCTCGTCTCCAGCTCAGCGAGCGTTTCCACTCGGACTTTCCTGTCCTGCGCTTGCACTCTGACAGAGGTGGTGAGTTCTCCTCCGACCTCTTGGCAGCCTACTGTGCGGAGCACGGCATCCGCCAGTCGTTCACGCTTCCGGCCTCTCCACAGCAGAATGGGGTTGCTGAGCGCCGCATTGGCTTGGTCATGGAGGTCGCTCGTACCTCCTTGATCCATGCGGCTGCCCCCCACTTTCTGTGGCCGTTTGCGGTCCGATACGCTGCGCATCAGCTCAACCTCTGGCCCCGTGTCTCCTTGCCGGAGACTTCCCCGACACTGCGTTGGACGGGAGAGGTTGGCGATGCGTCGCGTTTTCGGGTCTGGGGATCTCGAGCTTTTGTTCGCGATACGTCCGCAGACAAGCTCTCCTCCCGTGCTGTTCCTTGTGTCTTCCTTGGCTTTGTCCCGGACGCGTCTGGTTGGCAGTTTTACCACGCCACCTCGCGCCGTGTCCTGCCCTCTCAGGACGTCACTTTTGACGAGTCCGTGCCCTACTACCGCCTCTTCCCCTACCGCACTGCCCCGCTCCCCCCCCCGCCTCTCTTCCTTGCCCCAGGTGCTGCTATGGTAGACCCCCTCCCCCCTCAGGGTGCCGCTCCCTCAGGTGTGTCCCAGGTAGACCCGGTTGAGCCTGTCGAGGTAGCTGTCGACTCTCGTCCTGCTAGGGGTGCTGAGCCTGAGCGTGCGGAGCCTGGGGGTGCGGAGCCTGGGGGTGCGGAGCCTGGGGTTGCGGAGTCTGGGGGTGCTGCGTCTGGGGGTGCTGAGTCTGGGGGTGTTGAGTCTGGAGGTGCTGAGCCTGGGAGTACTACACCTGGAGGAGCTCTCTCCTCACAGCAGCTGCGTGAGTGGTACTTACAGTACTGCAGCCTCAGGAGAGGTGCCTCTGGAGCTAGGAGTGCTGCTGGAGCTGGTGCTAGTGCTTCCCCTCCTAGGCGGGAGCTGCCCTCTCCCCAGCGGCTCCGAGAGTGGTACGCGCGGCGCTGCAGTCTCCGGAGTGGCGCTCCTAGTGTCGCGGACCCTGGTGCTGGAGGTGCTACTGCTGCTGGCGGTGCTGGTGGTGCTCCTGGAGGTGCTGCTGGTGCTGGTGCTACTGACGCTGCTGGAGGTACTGCTGGTACTGGTGGTACTGCTGGTGCTGCTGGAGCTGCTAGAGGTACTCCTACTACTGGAGGTGCTGCTGGTGCTGAGGACCCGGGCGTTGGAGGTGCTGCAGGTGCTGAGGACCCGGGTGTTGGAGCTGCTGCTGGTGCTGCGGACCCGGGTGTTGGAGCTGCTGCTGGTGCTGCGGACCCTGGAGTTGGAGCTGCTGCTGGTGCTGCCGACCCTGGAGTTGGAGCTGCTGCTGGAGCTGAGGGTACTGGTGGTGCCTCTGCTGGTTCTGGAGGCGCTGCGCGGCCGCGGCCGTACTTCGTTCCGCTCCTTCAGCAGGTTCTTGGTCAGCCGCCTCCCCCTAGTCCTGCTCCCTCCTTAGAGTGTCCTCCGCCTGTCCAGTCGCAGTCACAGTTACCGCCTGCCTCGCCACTCCCTGGTCCTTCTCCTTACACTGGTCCGACTGGAGGTCTTACAGAGCGTCGTGAGCCTGAGTCTCGTCCTGCGTCGCCAGAGTCTCGTCGTGCGTCACCTGTTCGTGCTGCTCACACTGGTCGTCGTGTTCCGCGTCAGCGTCCTCCTGCTGTCCCAGGCACTCACCAGATGGCACTTCGTCCTTCCACTGCTCCTCAGCGTGTCCCTCTGCCGTCTCCTCCTGCGTCTTCTCTTCCTGCTCTTGCTGACCCGGAGTCTGACTCCCTTCGTGCTGCCAGTCCTACTGTCACACATCTCCTCGCCACAGTTGTCACTGACCCTTCCTTTGAGTCCTCTGCTGCGTCTGCTCTAGTCGCTGAGTTAGTTGACTTTGCTGCCGCTTGTCGTCTAGACTACGCCGCTAGCCTTGTCGCTGAGTCTGAGTCTGAGTCTGTCTGTCCTTCGTCCGTCGGGGGTGAGTGTGCTCTTGGCACGGACGTCCTTGAGGACAGGCAGGAGGAGTTTGAGTGCTTTGCCGCTGCGTTACCTCATCTCGTATCCATGCTGGTTGCCCCTGAGGGAGACCCGGATGCTCCAGACATCCCGACCCCGCGCTCTTACGCTGAGGCGATCGCGGGTGAGTACTCCTCTCAGTGGCAGACAGCCATGGACGCAGAGATGGCTTCTTGGAAGTCCACAGGCACCTACGTCGACGAGGTTCCCCCACCTGGGGCGAACATCGTCAGTGGCATGTGGATTTTCAGGGTGAAGCGACCGCCGGGTTCTCCGCCTGTCTTCAAGGCGCGTTACGTTGCACGAGGCTTCAGTCAGCGAGAGGGAGTTGACTTCTTCCAGACCTTCTCCCCGACCCCAAAGATGACCACTCTTCGGGTTCTGCTGCACGTCGCCGCTCAGCGTGACTACGAGCTCCACTCTCTTGACTTCAGCACAGCTTTCTTGCAGGGCAGCCTGCACGAGGAGATCTGGCTGCGCCGCCCACCTGGCTTCACTGGGTCGTTCCCTCCTGGTACCCAGTGGAGCCTCCGACGGCCAGTCTACGGTCTCCGCCAGGCGCCGCGTGAGTGGCACGACACACTGAGGACTACACTTGCGGCTCTTGGGTTCGCTCCTTCTACTGCTGACCCGTCGCTGTTTCTACGCACCGACACTTCACTGCTGCCGTTCTACATCCTCGTGTACGTCGACGACTTGGTCTTTGCCACTGCTGACACTACGGCACTCGCCCACGTGAAGTCGGAGCTGCAGAAGAGACACACGTGCACAGACCTGGGTGAACTGACAAGCTATCTTGGCTTGCGGATCACCCGGGACAGAGCACGGCGCACCATCACCTTGACTCAGTCACACATGGTGCAGCAGGTCCTTCAGCGCTTCCGCTTCACGTACTCCTCGCCTCAGGCCACTCCTCTGCCTACCGGTCACTCGCTCTCAGCTTTGCCTTCGGATGAGTCCGTAGAGCCGAGTGGCCCGTATCCAGAGCTTG